ATCCTATCGGCCTTAACCCATCCCACTGCCCTTACTCCTTCCGCTACGTCTTTTGATCCTCCTCCTCTTCATTCTTCTCCTCTTCCTGCTGACCTGTCTCCTCTCTTTTCTGTCCTCTCGGCCTTAACCCGTCCTACTGTCCCTACTCCTCCCACCACGTCCTCTGATCCTCCACCTCCTCCTCCTCCCATCGATCTGTCTCCTCTGACCAAAGTCTTCCATGTAAGAGTTCTCCTGACCTCTCGTGGGAAGATCTAGGCCCGATGGCTAAGTCCTGGAGTACAGCAACCCAAGAACAACTTGAACTAGCGGGAGTAACTAAAAAGATTATTAACCAGGGGGTTCCTCACAGCCACCGGTACTCCTGTGAAACATGGGGCAGCTATTGAAGAACTAATGGATGCCCTCCCTACTCTAACCCATCCCACTGCCCCTACTCCTCCCACTACACCATCTGGCCTTCTTCCCGCTATCTCACCGTCCGACCTGTCATCTGCTCTCGCCCTTGCCCTGTCCGCTCACCTGTCACGTCCAACCCAGCCTGTCCCTATCCCTACTCCTGCCTTCTCCATGCCCCTGGCCTCACACACCCCTGAGACAATCCCCAGTTATCCACTCATGGTGGTTGGCTCTGATGATGCTGCCACTTCGGGCCAGCCCTACGCAATGGGTGTCTCTCCGACAGCCTCAGGCTTCCATCCTACCACGTCATCATCACAGCCAGCCAGCTCACATAACACTGTTACCGGCTTCCCGAACCAGGCCCCTGTCACCCCGGCCGCTCCAGCCCTAGCCTCCCCTGATGTTACTTCCTATCAGGAGGGTCTCATCGCTCCGGGGATGATGATGTAGGTGAGCGTGACCTGCTCTGCCCTCAGGGTAATAGACCCTTACAGAGACAGGCTGTCACTGGTGTACATCTCCATGTACCCCCCTTTACCGAAGGTGCTCCTCCCATGTATGTCACGTTCAACCCCTCACAAGCAGCTACCTTGGTCACCTCCCTCCCTGATCCAGAGAAACAACCGATGCCCTTCTTTCGCAGAATGGCTCAGATTCGTAAAACGTACTCCCCTGCTTGGCGGGATCTCCCCAAGGGGGGAGTGGCCCATTACTGGTACAGCTTGGACATCAACCCAGAAGTCCAAATGGAATTTCAATTGCCCACTCCCACAGCACCACATGACGTGCAACCGGAGAACTTGTTGCATTGCACTCACACTTTAAAGACACTCCGGGCCCTTATTCATACTATGAAGAAGATTTGTTTCACCTAGTAGAAATTCGCATCACATTGACAGATTTATTATGTGATTTCAAAGGCAACATGGTCTCGTTGGTCCACCTTCCAATGGAAGTATCACACCTTTATCACCACTGGGAGGTGGCTGTCCCACATGTCTCATTTGCCAAGTCTCCTGACCTCTCTTGGGAAGATCTAGGCCCGATGGCTAAGTCCTGGAGTACAGCAACCCAAGAACAACTTCGGGAGTAACTAAAAAGATTATTAACTGCACTACAGTCAGTTACCCTCGGTACCATACCCTCCCATGGGGCAAGATCCAGAAGCCCCTCATGATTGTTTTGAACAGATGAAGATGGAAACCACCCACTTACCAACCGTGCATGAAACTGCCCTACTCAATCCAGACTGTAAACTGTGGATGGTTCCAGATTTGATGATGAACAAGGGCAATACCACACTGGATATGCAGTTACTACAGAATGTCGAATACTACAAGCTGCTGCGCTTGCACCGACAAAATCAGCCCAAGAGGCCGAGCTGACAGCCCTCATGGTGGCCTGTAAGCTGTCTGAAGTTACACGTGTCAATATTTATACAGATTCAAGATATGCCCTGGGGGTGGCACATGATTTTGGTCTAATCTGGAAAACCAGGGGGTTCCTCACAGCCACCGGTACTCCTGTGAAACATGGGGCAGCTATTGAAGAACTAATGGATGCCCTGTTACTACCTACGGAGCTGGCCGTACTAAAGGTAAAAGCCCACGGAAGGTTGAACTCAAAAGAAGCTCAGGGCAATCACCTGGCTGATCAGGCCGCTAAGGAAGCAGCACGGCAGGGGTGGAAAGTGGATAGAAGAGTGGCTACCGAGACTACCCCTATCTATACCATGCAAACCTTGCCCACAGACCTTAGGCTCTTGAAAGAACAGCAAGCAGCAGCAACCCCTCAAAAACAAAGCTGGAAGAACAGAGGGGCAATCCTTCGAATCAACCATCAACCTCAAGTTCTGCTTACCTAAAAACATGTACCCAGCTGTTGTCCAGTGGGCTCATGGACCAGCCCATCTGTCTAAACATCTGATGAACTCCCTAATCGATAAATACAGGCATTACAACTCTGACACAGAACTATTGTAGATCCTGTACGATTTGTGCCAAATGTAACCCTGGAAAGATTATCAAGGCTGCTCCTAATCACCTGGCCAAGCCACAGTATCCCTTCCAGAGAATACAGATTGATCATATCCAGATGCCGAAGAGCGGTCGATATGAGTATGCATTAGTCATTGTGGACATGTTCTCAGGATGGCCAGAGGCCATCCCAGCCGCTAATATTACTGCAAAGACCACAGCAAAGCACCTCCTTACAGAAATTGTCTGCCGATATGGAGTTCCAGAAGTGATTGCAACCTCCTTCACCGCTCTGTTGACACGAGAAGTCTGGGCAGCACTGGGGGTTACCCTTGCCTTCCACACACCTTATCACCCACAGAGTAGCGGTAATGTAGAACGCATGAATGGCACATTAAAAGCCAGAATGCTTAAAATGTCCATGGAGACCAATATGCCTTGGCCCGAGAGTCTTCCCCTAGCACTGTTCAGTGTACGATATACCCCTAGGGGGAAGTTCAGCCAATCTCCCTACGAGATCTTGTTCGGTACAGCACCAAGGTAAGGTTGTTATTTCCCCCAACAGCTCCAGATTCAGTCAGATGCTATGGTAGACTATGTAACTGCTCTCTCTCATGCCTTGACCAACATCCATGCCCAAGTGTTCTCTTCTATTCCAGATCCCGAATCGAATACAGGTACTCACAAGTTGCTTCCTGGTGATTGGGTTATGTCAAGAAATTCCTCAGGAAACATACTCTTGAACCACGATTCGATGGTCCTTACCAAGTGTGACAGATCAATCAGTGTAGAGACTGGTTGCTGGATTCGTCTGTTTGCCTGTTTTTGCCTTTTCGTGGAATTACCCGTTCTTATGCCTCTGTTCAGTGAATTGACTTTTTCCGCCGAATGAAACTACCGAACGGACGGCCAACCAGAAGAGAAGTGTGCTGCTGGTTAACCTATTGATCCCAATTAGAACGTTGTGGTTAACCGCAGACACTTCTCAATTAAGAACTGAATACCGGGTGGTCGTCGTTTGTATGTCGACCACGAGGCGGCGGCCATTTTAAAACATACGAAAGACCAGCGGTGCTCGGCATATATTTCATGGAACTGAAAACGGACACTCTTTCTGCCGAACACCGCTGAAGCCGTCGACCTCCCCTTCTCAATCGACAGAAGGATGCGAACACCGGCCGTTCGGGAGGTTTAAACATACGAATGGACTTACCCCAGATAGCCTTCCCATGGAGTCAATCGCATACCGAAGGACTGCAATAGACTTTGACTCCATGGCGATTGAACTATGCGTATGGGATCTGAGCGCTATTCGCCAATAATGTGCACTCAGATCCAGGCTATCTGGGGATATGTGATACGAATGGGTAGAATTCGAAAGAAGCAAAGTTATATATTTTTATGTGTTTCTCTATATTGTATTTAAAATGGCGATTTGTCCTTGTCCTGGAGACAATTCAATTAGTTCTCAATTATCTCCAGGGCAGAGGGGAGGAAATACTAATGCATGCTGGGAATATTCTGTGTCTGTGGATCCTAACTTGCTATATGTCTGTCTGTTGTTACAGTCTCCCATTTGGTCCCCTAGGGGAGTGTCCACCAAGTGGGAGACCTGCATAAATACGGGCAGGTAGCCCACAGTAAAGCCAGTTCTTGTTTTACCCTCAATGCGGAGCTTGGTCTCGTTATTGGGGGATTTATTACCGACGACTAGAGACTGCTGGATGGGATTATTAGCCGCTTGGGAGATATCTGCGTTCGGCTAATATTGGCGATTTGTGAGTTTGGAGCTCGTGGAGTGAAGTGCCCGTACGGATCCCGTTCGTGAGTTTGCAGCGTTCCCTTGCTTGCGGTTCGCATGATTGTACTGGATACGCATGCAGCCTATGCTATTGCGAGAGGGGAACATTCACTAAACGGCGGTTTGTACATTTCATGCTGAGGGTACCGTAACACCAAGTACTACTGACTACGGCTACCTCAGTAAAGTTGGCCGGAAAGAGTTCCTGGATACACGCTTCACATTGCAAGAAAGTGCTTGCTCCAGAGGAAGCCACCTCCGCTGAATCATGAGCTTCCTGTGTTTTCTTTTGCTGCTAGGCCTGATAGAGGCCCAACAAGTTGCTATAACTAAAGACAATCATGTTTACATGTTCTGGTACAATTCCTTAAACACACATGTGGCTACATTTACCTTTGATTACTGTGACATTGTTTCTTGCATTTTTCCACAAACACAACACTCTGCCATATACAAAGACATACCCAACAAGAAGGACCCATACATCTGCGTAACTGGAGGCCACTGGGGACTTCATTGTAGTTCCTGGAAAGCAGCTGGTTGGAATACTAGTAGACCTTGGGGCTATAAGCCCCAATGTGCTTTAGACAGAGTTGACGGAAATGGGAAGTCCTTATTATATAGAATGACCCTGAGTAAACATGCAGGGTCAACCCTGATGAAGCTTACCTTAAATATAGAACATCCCAGCCCAGGCAGGGCCGGACTGGCCCACCGGGATACCGGGAAATTTCCCGGTGGGCCACGGCACCTGGGGGCCGGCCGCGTTCCTGGCTGGAGCCGCAGGGCCGGGTGGCAGCTTCCCCGGTCCGGCGGCACTCCTCTCACTGCTGTGGCTGATGGAGGAGAAGCATGTCTCTGTATCATGCTCCCTCGCAGCTCCAGTACAGAGACATGCTCCTCTTCCATCAGCCACAGCAGTGACAGGAGCAGAGCCGCCGGACCGAGGAAGCTGCCACCTGGCCCGGCGGCTCCAGCCAGGAACCCGGCCGGCCCCCTGACTTCTCCAGTTAAAGGGTGGGGGAGAGGGGAATAGAGGGAGGAGGGAGAGACACAGGGAAAGGGGGGGAGGGAGATGGGGAGGAGGGGAGAGACACAGGGAGGAAAGAGGGGGGAGAGACACAGGGAAAGGGGGAGGGAGAGAGATGGGGAGAGACACAGGGAAAGGGGGAGAGAGAGATGGGGAGACACAGGAAAGGGGGAGAGAGATGGGGAGGAGGGAGAGACACAGGAAGAGGGGGGAGAGAGGGGGGAGGAGGAGAGAGACACAGGGAGAGAGATGGGGAGAGGAAAGAGGGAGAGAGATGGGGAGAGACACAGGGAAAGGGGGAGGGAGAGAGATGGGGAAAGGGGGTGAAAGAGGCAGAGGGGGAAGAGAGAGACAAAGAGGGAGAAATGAGAGAGAGACACACAAGGGGAGGGGAAGAAAGAGGCAGAGGGGGGAGAGAGAGACTGGGAAGGAGAGGGGAGACATTGATACAGAGGATAAGTGAGGGGGAGAAAGAAACATACAGAGTGACTGGGGAGACAAAAAGGCACACAGAGGGGCTGGAGATAAAGAGACACACATAGGGGCAGTATATATCACTGGTGGATGGGGGGGCAACGGAAATGGGAAGTCCTTATTATATAGAATGACCCTGAGTAAACATGCAGGGTCAACCCCGATGAAGCAGTGAGGGGGGGGAAGAAACATACAGAGTGACTGGGGGAGACAAAAAGGCACACAGAGGGGCTGGAGATAAAGAGGGGCAGTATATATCACTGGTGGGTGGGGGGGGGCAACGGGCCCCCCCCCCTCAAAGGCTTTCCCCTGCCGGCCGGCACCGTGCAGCCAGTCGGCAGTGGAGGAAGAGAGGACCTGGGGCAATGCTCCGGCTCTCACGAGGGTGAACTCTAGCCCTGGAGCTACGGGCTAGAGTTCACTCTCACCACTTCCTGGTGGTCCCAGTAATAGGAGTGAACTCTAGCCCCATACACACACACTGCCCCACACACACACACACACCATACACATTCACACACTGCCCACACACACACACACACCATACACATTTACACACTGCCCACCCACACACTGAATCTTTCACACACATTGCACCACTGCTTCTATACCCTACTACAGCCCCATATCCCAGCAGACTCCAGGTAAGTTGTCAAACTGTTCTTAAACGGTTTGACGACTTACTCTGGGAGGGGGTGCCGACGCTCCTGGCACCATAACCACTACACAGAGGAGTAGTGGTTATTGTGCATGGAATATTTCTTTAAATAATCTACAAGTGCCCCTCTCAGGCTCAGGCTCTGGATCCTCCACTAGTATATGACATGTATATTAATGTGTGTATTAGTTTTATATATATATATATATATATATATATATATATATATTATATATTACACATATTAATGTACATTTATAAATGCATAATACACAGAGAAATTTCATTAATATGTACCATATGTAATGAGCAGATATTGGCCCAGTCTTGTTGCTAGGTGCATACTCCAGCACAATAACATATTTAAAGTGAAGAGCACACCCACAGGACTTCAAAATAAAAAAATTTACAGTTGTGCCCTACATACATTCACCATTTCAGTCCCATTAACAAGCTTTCCTTAATATGTCAAGGTAGTTGGACTGAAACATTGATTACATGCAAAGGCACGTCTGCTTAAAATAAATCTGCACTTTTGTTTATTTTGAAGCCTATGAGTGCGCTTTTTACATTGAAGTACTTTTTAATTTTAAGTTATCTGTTCTAACTCTGTATCTGCACACTATGCTGGCGCGACGCATTATGGGGCTGGTAAATATATTTTTTTCACGGCTGCTTTTAATTCCCAGTCTGGCCCTGAGCCCAGGGGATGCTGGGGAGTATGTAATGGGTATGTATTGGAAGGGAGGTGGGTCACACAATCAATTGGGAACCTTCTATTTACAAGACATGCTTACTTCACCTGACTGGGTGGGTGTCACGTATTCATCCGCTTATAGAAATGTGGTTAATGACATTTACTGTCCACACAGGAAAAGTTGTGCCGAGCAGCAACCTAATCCACAGAAGGGTTAATGCTGAGCAGTAATTGTGCAAATGAAACCTGGTGTCATGTATTCATCCGCTTATAGAAAAGTGGTTAATGACATTTACTGTCCACACAGGAAAAGTTGTGCCGAGCAGCAACCTAATCCACAGAAGGGTTAATGCTGAGCAGCAATTATGCAAATGAAACCTGGTAACTGACTTTGGGGTCAAAGGCCGGTTACAGCCTATCAGAACTAAAGGAGGGGTATTTAGGCCCAGTTCTCAGCCTGCTCAGTGCCCTGTCGTGGTTTCCCTTGTGGTTGTCCGAGAGCGCGTTCCTGTTTATAGTTTTCTACCTGGTTTTTGACTTTGGCTTTGTTTATTGACTTCTCTATATTCTGGTATCCTGACTCCTGGCTTTCCTCATCGCTGTGTCCCTTTCTGTGTTCCCTGACCTCTGCTAGTATTTTTGACTATTCTTTGTACGTTAAATCCGGCCATTCTAAGGACTGGTAATACGTTACTTATTTGTCATCCGTGCTGTACAGTTCTACGTACTGGATCAAACAGTAATCCTGACAGTGGGTACTACTCAGATGACTATCAATCCACTCAAACCTCACATTAAGACTCTGCATGATATGGTTGCTATTGCTAACCCTACTTTTGAAGACACTATGGCAGTGGAAACCGAGTTCTCAGACACTAACCTGTGGCTAGAATGGATGAGGTATAATGCTAATTCACATAATAAGACTAACTGTTATGTATGTGGCGGGGCTAGACCCCATTTGGGTACAGTGCCCCTCAATCTACCTCCTGATGTTGAATTGTGTGTTCTAAGCCTCTATGCACAATCAACCACTAATTCATCAACATGTGAATCATGGAAAAAGGTGTATCCTATCACCCAGGGAAACATTAGACCACCTGATGGAGTCACAGTATACCCAGGCAACTACACCTGTTACTCAGTGCCTAAAAACACTGGTAAGTTCATGGGTAAGTTCCCATCCGGCTATTGTTCTGCCTACCACGACCCACCCATGGCGCTATTGGTAAATCATGTCAAAACAGTTGGGGACATATATTGGCTGTGTGGGGATAAACAATTAAGATTCCAATTATCCAGCTTATGGTGAGGGGAATGCACCTTGACTAAAGCTATAATGCCCATCCACATTATCCCAGATGGTCACCAAAGCCCATTTGACCCCATATGCACACATTCCAGAGCTAAAAGGGAAATCCCCATCCGTGGCAGCTTCGACCCACATGTTTCCATTGATGCCATCGGGGTTCCAAGGGGGGTACCCAATGAATTTAAGGCCAGAGATGAGGTAGCAGCCGGGTTTGAATCCTTGGTCCCACTAATTACTGCTAATAAGAATGTAAATTGGATTAATTATATCTACTATAAACAGCAACGGTTTGTTAATTATACTAAAGATGCCCTACAGGGCTTGGCAGAACAACTGCAAGCTGCCTCCCAAATGACATTCCAGAATAGAACGGCTCTGGATATGATCCTATCAGAAAAGGGGGGCGTATGTAAAATACTCCCCGATACCATGACATGTTGCACCTTTATCCCAGATAATATTGGACCCAATGGTAAAGTAACCATGGCAATAAAGAAACTAGATATTCTCTCCGATGAATTGCAAAAGAATTCTGGGGTCACTAACACATGGGATAGATGGTTCGGATGGATGAATGGATGGCAGAAAACCCTGGGACAGCGGTTTTCACAATGATAGTCATTTTCCTGTTCCTGACTTGTGGTGTGTTACCTTGCATACAGAAATATTTGCAGAGCGGGTAGCCATACTTGCGAGGGGGTGATGACGTGACACGTGATTGTGCACGCTCCCGCGGCTGAGAGACTCCGGTGTGAGGAGGAGAGGAGAGGTGGCGTCCAGCGCTTAAGAGCAGCGCGATGTCAAGATCCAATGCTACAGCTGCCTGATTACAGAAGCGGTATGCGGTATGCGGTAGGCTGTCTGCTGTCTGCTATTTGTTGAACACCGAGCACTGGCCGAACTGCTTAAGATTTAAGAACTGCTTAAGATTCAAGGTATAGGGGAGTTTTTTAAAACTATACACTTGTGCTGCAAAAAAAACAGAGGAAAATAAATTTTTTTTTTTTTTTTTTTTAAAGCTATGAAGATTTTTGGACTATGTTTAAATACTGCAATGGAGTTTTGATTGTTGAGGGGTCATTAATTGAGAAGGATTGCTGGAAACTGGAATGAAAATTTAACATAAGGGTTGGAGGAAGGCAACTGTCTGCAATTAAACAGCAACGACGGTGAAAATGTGTACTATATTTTGAACTTAGCACTATGTTGCCGTGAGAGAATTTCAATAGTAACTATTTTCATTGGTGTGTCAGACTGATACAATTTCTTGAGAGAGATCCATAATAGCAACAGTTTCAATAGTGAGACAGATTGATAGATTTAAACTGCTTTCTGTTTTTTTTTGGGAAGGCAGAAATTTATATCTAAACAAGGCTCCATTTATCTGTGGGGGCTTGAAATTGAGATAGCAATTGTGACGAGACCAATCTCGCCACATTGCATTGGAGAAGCCTGGTTGCTCGCCTGCTGCCTTTGGACTATGGCCCCCTTTTAAAAGACTTTATTTTTTGCCTGCAGAAAAGCTTCATTCGTGCTTTTCTGCCTGGGGTTCAGTAGATTTGTTTGAATGTGTTATACCCCAGATAGGAATCCCATGGAGCCCATTAGTATGAAACTGACTGTAAAGACTTTGGCTCCATGGCGATTAAACTGTATTTGTGTGGTCCGAGCGCCATTCACTTAATAATGTGCGCTCAGACCTGAGCTATCTGGGATATGTGAAATGTCTGTGTGTTATGTGTAAAATGTAACTTTATGT